TCCATACAGTCCCATCAAATTCTGCCCCCCCCCCCAAAAAAAAAGTCGAACAAAAAGCAGATTCTCCTGCTTGATGGTGGGATAAGCAAGCACATGTTTTGTTTGACCTTTGGTGCACATTTCTTATCACCACAGGGGAGGAATTTTTGGGTGAGGACAAGCAATTTTTAGATCAGGTACCGCGTTCCCTGAATGATATTTCCATCTCACCGCAGCCACTCATCCATCCCTAATCCAATTTCTCCCTGTAATTGCGCACACTGTCAGACACAAAACATTTGCCAAGTGTACACAGACAATCCTGGCACACCAACCTGGTTCACTGTAACATGCATGAAAAATATTTACAAAAGCCCCCACCCCGCCCTCAGTGTAAACCAGGTTACAAAAATGAATGTAAATATTGGCTCAAGAGAACCAGTGTTTTCATTTGACTGTACCTCAGAAGCCCTGTCAGTGACAGGAGAAAAAGACTCAAGTGGAAAAACAGCGCACACACGCTCCACTCATTGCGGATTACAGTAACCACGTAATGTATATCTGCAGTCATATGGCAATGATTTCAGATACTTTTAGATTAAAACATTAAAAAGGGGAATCGTCAGCATTGAGAACTGCAGAGGCACACAGAATTGGAAAAGGAGTTTACGTCGTCTTGTCTAATTAAATGTTTCAATATAAATATATAATATATTTCATAAAATATTTTAATGGTGAGGGTAATTTTAATTAAGACTGGAATTAAGGCCTTATAATTGGAAAATTAAATGTTAAAGACTTTTTAATGATCCATGAACATGAACCTTGAACACCATGAATTAATTCATCTAATCAATGATTGCTTTTCCACACCATGCTACACTACTGGCCAAAAGTTTGGACAGATCTTCTAGGGGATATTAAATGAGAAACTGTGTCCAGACTTTTGACTGGTAGTTCATGTCACAAAAATACTGGTTAATCCTGCATTTGTAAATATTTCCAGAAAATATGAGGCATGTCAAAAATGTTCCAGTACTGGTTTCACAAAAATGTTAATCAAGTCAGTCAACCCCCTGGAGTCAAAGCAATTTTTCTCAGACCTCTGTGCCACGCTTGGAAGTATCTCTTTCTCGGCTCTGTCATCATGATGTCATCTATGTCTTCAAAACAGCTCCCTTTAATGACCCCCCCTTGATGTTTAAAAAGGTGGAAAAATAGAAATAATAAATCACACTAAACCAGGTCGGGTTCTAGTAAGGAGGTTGATCTAGCATGGGCATGTTCTTCTCGGCCAGGAACTGCCAGATGCTCATGGCATTGTGAGCAGATGTGTTTGGACAAGCTTCAGCCATAGGTTGGCCGCTGCAAATCTAATCCCTCCATTTACAGTTATGTAGTTAAATGAATATGCTGGTTTATTCAGTGCATTGGTCAACCTCATTAACAATTGCTGACTCTACGTTGGTGAATTTGAAATTACCGTATTTTCCACACTAAAAGGCGCACTGGATTATGAGGTGCACCTTCAATGAATGGCCTATTTTGTCATTTTATTTCATATATTGGACGCACCACATTATAAGACGCAATCTACAATGCATCCACTAGATGGAGCTACGCTCAAGGAAATGACAACAGAACACTACACTACACTACACACTGATTTATATAGTGACGATCAGATGTCAGTAAAACTTATTTAATAAAGCAGCGACACAGTTCACTTAACCAACAGCAAGTTATAACATTGACTCGTTAACGTTGAACTCTCTTGCTGCTGCTCTATTTCCGTGTTCAACTGCGAAACCGATCACCTTGAGTTTGAACTCTGCGTTGTAAGCATGTCTCTAGCAAGGAGCCATTTTGGGGTCGACATATTACCGTAATGACCATACACAAGGTGCATCGGATTTTAAGGCGCGCTGTGAGCTTTAAGAAAATAGAAGGCTTTTAGGTGCGCCTTTTAGTGAGGAAAATACGGTACGCGGTGAGGAGGGAAGAAAAAAAAAAAGAAAAGCATTCATTTCATCTTAAAGTTTAGTTCCAATTTGTTTGACATATTGGGGCACTCCATTATTGCATTCAGCACTTTTTTGGGGTTGTGTTTTTTTTTTGTTTTTTTTTATCTGAAATGGCACCGACTGGACCTAGAACTCCCATTTTCAAGATGGCTGCACCCATGAAAGCGGACAGGCTTCCCTTCCCACGAAAATACCCCCAAAAATGAGTTTCAGAGTTTGATTGATGACACACAAAGCAAGAAGTGCTTAGCCTGTGTGCCAGTGCATTTGCAGGTTAGGACAAGTGAATGTCAATTAAATATCGATGAAGTTGGCAAATTTTGGGAATAAACAAAAAATGTAAGGAAACCCACAATTGTGTAAAACAAGTGCATCCAGAAATGAGATTCACATAAATGACCAAGATAAAAATCCCCCAGATTTCATTGAAGGCATAAAACTTGAAATCAGGCTTGTGAAAAAGCCCCCCCCCCAAAAAAAAGGATTTAGCCCACTCTCGTTATCTGTGGATCAATTCAAAGACCTTTACTCACTTGTTTCTCCCATCTCATATTCACTGTCTCTGAGCAGCTCAAAGATGTCCACCTCCAGCTTTCCGGTGATGGAGCGATTGCTGCTTCTGTTGATGCTGTCTTTGGCCAGCGTGATGGCCAGGCGCTCTCCTCTGCTGCACTCCATTGGGTCATCTAGGATGGCAGCTGCACAGAGACAGCCAAGGAGACAATGATGACGGAGTTGAATTCAAAGCAATCACAAGACGAGTGAACACTCTCCTCAAATCGGAACGCGATTTGACTCGATTGCTGTCTTATGATTGTTTCCCCACCACTTAGGTGGCTCTGAAAGTCTATTTCCCAACAATGAACCTTTATTACAACAAACAATATCTGACCCGTTATGCGTTGCGAAACACTGAACTAAAGGCAAATACAGCATGAATATGATTTTTATCCACTACAATTATGACGTGCAGTTTGGTAAGCGTTCGCCACGACAACATCATTCTTCCACACCGGTTTTAAGCTCTCCCGTAAAGCCACAAACACAAGTTCAGAACGCGACGATAATGTCAACACATCAGTAGCTTTGCCACTT